TTCATTCAAATGAGCAGCCAAAAGACAGCAACCAAAATCGACGCTCGAATATGCTTGGTTTATGGTTGCTCAAACTGAAACTGAAACTTCTCAGCTGCAATCAAATTCAACCATCTTGCATCGATGTTATTAGGTTTCTTCCTCTTTGGTTATGTCTTGATGGAGATATTCTGTTGACTGTACAATAAATTGAGCTTATGTTCATTTCCAAGGATTTGCACAAGTCAGGAACCGAATCATCGGATATATATGCCTCTTGACTTCAATTGTATGCCAAGAACCTTTGAATGTTTCATCTGGTTTGGGTATGGTAGCACAACAAAATGCTTATTCAACGAGCCGCACGCGTCAAGGTCAACTTTCCACGGTCATCTTGTATGTTTCTTGGATTATATTTTTATTTATTTTAGTTTCAATAATAACAAATGAGTAGTTTGCAGTCAAATAATTTATCAATCTATTTAAGGTAATTTTTTTCTATAATTGGCTTATTTTGGTGATTTGTCTTTTGCGCACGATGTTAACTCGGTTAAGATCTTTCAACTGTGAGTTATTGCGCTCCTAATTGCGTATCTGAACAGTGGAAAATGATCGATTTAGGAATGATTTGCATAGTAAAGAAACTAAGTCTCCGGTCAGCCGAGCTGTACGCTACTGCGACAGACGGATCGAGGAAGTCAGTTTACTATGACGTTCATTGTTCCCGAAAGTCCTTTATTTTGGCCCACGGTACATGACCCTCTATTTCTTTGAGCAATTATCCTTCTCTGCGATGCTATGCGTTTTGACATAATACTTCTCCCAACAGTTGGTGTCTCAAGTCAAACATGACTAAATGAACCATCATTGTTACCGTTTTTTCTCCATTTCTACCAGTCTGACCCACCTGTTCAAGAATGCCAAGATTCACTGGATCCTAAAGCGGTCATTCCGGACACGAAGCCATCGAAATCTTCGAAAACTAAACGTAAGCGTCGGGGCAACGCAGGGAAACCATCAGTAGTAAATGCTGAGCAGCCCTCGCCCGTTTCTGTTACCTCCACCAATTCACCTCCACTGAGCATTGACTTGTCTGTGGAGTCAACCACAGACATGCAACGAGTCACACCGGATGATTCCGAATTCGAACTGGTTGAAATTTCCGGCCACCCGACGGTAGCCGCGGCTGGTTCCGTGACCGAATCGGATCCAGATGGTAGTCTGGGTGCGGACTGGAGCCTGGCCCAACCGATTCCACATACCGGAGATATGCATGAATTCCCCTACTTACCTGGCACCGAGAGTCAGTTCGCGATTGTACATTCCTCCGGTTCCGACACACATTTAGAATGCGGTCAACATCCGCATGCCCGACATCTGCTCAATTCTGCGTTGAATGATCCGGTGGATGACAATTCAACTCCAGTTTCGGCTCCCGGAAACTCAGCTAACCTAACTGAGACTACGACTGTTGTCGCACCGGTCAAACCAGTCGTGAAACGATCTAAAGCCCGCAAGGCTGATTGAGTTGCGGTGCATACATATACCCTTGACTCCAACCATTTGTTCTTCCCCAACAATAAATAATAGCTCTGTCTGTGTATTGGCGTTTCATTTATTTTCTTCCGGCAGGCGGCTTGTCACTCCCGTCATCGATGTTCTTGCCATGCCTTATCTTCCGTTGGCCACCTCCATTTTGTTGCCGGTGTCTGGCCGGATCACCCGTGATCTGACCGGTCATTGTGCGAGGTATAGTCTTTCATTAGAGTCACGGCAATCCAATTTTGGTCGTTTTCAATTTCCTTTTTTGTTCCCATCCTCAAGGAAAAACAAACGCCCTCGTCTCACTTCCATACACGGTCCCAAAAGAGGCGAGTACGCGTCGGCTATTGTGATGCTTCCCTTCGACAACGAACTCGTCTCGGCGACCGCCCTGATCATCGGCTTTCATTCCTCGTCCCCTCTTCTCCCCAACTCAACCTAGTTACCATTTTTCAACGAAGCTTCTGTCTTGTTTTTTTTTGTTTTTCCTCTATCTCCACACCCAGGCATGTTGCACGGCACTGACTTTCATCGGGCTATGTTCCATCTATTGTGGTCTTTCTTTGAGTATGTGTGTCTGTGGGAAAATCGATTTTTTCCGAATTTCTTCTGATATCTTTCCCCATGTGTTTACTTGGCTCTGTTGGCCCTTCACGCATCGATTATGATATATTGCGTGTTGTGTTACCGTAACTCTGCCGGGTGAGATAGTTGTTTGTGCGGATCATCGTGCACACACTCCGACCCATCACCAACTTTATCTGTCTTTTCTCTCTCGTCCATCCGACAAACAGACTTCCCGTTGTCTATCTGTAATTGTATCCACCCACCATGTATAAGCGTGACCCCGAGTAATCCATGAGTAAGGATACGGGTCGAAGTATGTGAGCGTCCTGTATGCAAACTGCTTTGGCATTTCTTCTTTCTTATGCGAACGGCTTATTCTGTTCTCCTCTGTTTTCATTTTGATCCGTTTAAGAAGTCCGACAAAAGAGAAAATTCATGGATCTCCTGTATCTCTGACTGTGGCTTCAACCATTATCACCATCACCACTACTACTACCATCACTATTGTAGCGGCCACCTCGTGCCAACAATCGCTACTCATCACTTTCTAGTTGGTTGATCGAGCCGTATCAATTAATAAAGGTCTGAGGCTAAGCGCCACGCACGAGGTTTGTACTCGTGCATAAATTGTTCTTCATCTTGATTATCTGTCAGTTCACTTGCTCAGCGGTAGTCCATTTGATGTATATGCAAATATGAGGAAGGTCAAAGTGATGATGCAGTCATTTGTGGACTGAACAATTCATTTGACTGCAGTTTATTATCACACATCGTTGAGTGTTGTACATCAGTGGGAATCAATCGCAGTCATGAGGGTTCCTTGTTTCTTCATGAAAATTGACAACTTAATCTCTGGGTTTGTTTGAAGCAGTGAATCTTACAGAACCCCGCTAAATTAGGCGGGACAGTGAACCGGACGACAGCCGAGCTGTCCGTCACGAAAGTCGCTTGATGGTGGAGACAGTTCCAATCTGTCAGTGTCCGCTGCTTAACCCACCTGATATGCTGCTGAATGTAAACCTAAATGAGGTCCAAGCATTAATATGTTAGTGATTGACTTTCGTTTTACCGTTCCTAACCAGATTGCTGCCGTAGCGCTAGGGGAGTCAGTTATGGCTTTGGCGGAAGAAAATGAATAGAACGGTTAGCCAGTTGTCCATATTGCGTATGCCATTGCCTGGGTGGTGGTGATCCAGTGGTTTAATCGCTGTCACCGACCTGTTTTGGACCCTATGTTCCGAGGCTCGGACCAACTTTGGTAGAAGCAGCTTTGTTGTAGTCCGGTTCAATACCACGCCTATCCTAGTGGGGCCTTATGTGTTTCGCCACAGAGGCTTAGGTTGCCGCTTCCATCACTGAATAACAGGTCTTCGCGACTGTGATTCACCCCATATGCCGTTTATCATACAAAATGTGTGTTTGTGATAAAGAAACATCGTTGTCTTTTCAGGGCAGTAGCTGAATATTCACCCCACCCCATGGGGCGAGTTAGAGCGGCTTCTTGACCTGAGGGTCGAGCGCACATCACAGAAGTTTGACTGTTTCTGATTCAATTATGAACCGTCTAGTTGCCAGAATAAATGTGCATGCGAGTTATTTGTGTTTTGCAACACCGTAGTCGGGTATGCTAGGTCAATTGTTGTGAACTTGGCAGCGATCAGTGAAGTTCGCTCCATTGCATCTGACTGTACGATGATGATGAGTAGGTCAGCCGAGTCAGCTATATTGAGGCCTACTTTCGAAATGTCGGTGCACCAACTCTGAGTAAAATTAGATCGAGTTATTGTTTTCATGGTTAATGAATGTTGTATCTATCACTTTTCTGGGATAAAATTCACCAATGTATCGGGTTCTGAGGTCGTATCTTCGACTTTCCCACTTCCAATTCACAGGCAACATTTAAATTGGATTGCAACGTTGTGTTTTCATGAAGAAGAATATGGAATTCATTACCTGACAGAAAATCTGAGACGTCAGCTTGATAGATTTAGACCTTGCGATATGCTTCCGACACCCGTGGACATATCGCTGTTCCCGTAACCTTCGTAATGCATTATACTGTGTCCGCTTTATTCATTCATTTTTTCTTACACGTTTCCTTTAACAAGCTATTGCGCACAGAATTTTCGAGAAATGAGAAGGCTGGCAATCTATCATCGTGCTGTGAAGCGATCTTCACTGGTTGCACGCAAAGTAAAAGTATGTATGTTTTTTGGGAAGGGGGAACGAAAGTCGACCTTTATGGTCAATGCATAGAGTACACAATCTAACAACGCTTACATACCCTTTCAAGCATTCTGGCTTGGGAAGGAATGAGGACAAGAAGGCCATTGCTATAGTTCGCTGCCGTATCCTCCAATGTCTTCAAACAACCAGTTTTAGAATCTTTTGAATCCCAACCCGGAACACGTGAGACATACTTCGCTCTGTTCATTTTTTGTGTCTCGTCTCCACATCCTGCATTTTGATCTCCACTGGTTTAATCTAACCCAAAGCGGCTACAGGGGATGAGGCGAGGTGCTGTAGGCACCCTTTGAGTATACGCAATAGGATCCCGAGTAAATGGAAAATATGTTGAATGTTGTCGTGTAAAGAATAAAATAGAAATAGATAAAAATAAAAAGAATAGAATAAATAAATGCTGGTGGATTCCGAACACCATCTGCTGTGCGCGGGTTTGGTGACCTTAGCCAGTTAACTTTCGCCCCCTCCCTCCCATTACTTTGTCCCTTTAACTGAGAAGTAACAATGAAATATCACTGTCACAAACTCGATTAGGAGCTTTTTTAATTTGCCAAATTTTCCGTGCTATTCAATAACTGCGCGTTGTGTTCATTTTCACTGGAAAAATACAGCTCTGAGAATGCTTCGCACGATTATCTCTCGTGATAAACGGGTAAGTGAACAAAATTTTCAATGGGAATTCGTCCACAAGTGGGCTGAAGAATATAATCCTGGATGATTTATCCCCAGTTTCACCATTACCCCGTCCTTGTTTCGCTCCTAAACAGTCTATTTTGGACGTAAATGATGAGCTGATAAATCAGACTGCTGGTGGCGTATTTATTCTTGCGCTCGCCTGCCGTAGAATTTGAATTACTACGAGCGCGAGGAACCATCACCTCACCGTTATTATTATTACGACCATAAATTATGTATGATTAATATTTCTTATGCAGTTGATAATATATGATGTGACACTGCAGAGTTAAATATTTACCGGGAAGTATTTGTGTAAGTTGAGTGATTTCAAATTTTTATTGTGGGTATATTACAAAGTTGATGCTTATTGAATCCCATAGGATCTGTACACACTGGGTTCGGTTGGGGGTACACGTAAATATCAAAATATAACGTTCACTCGCGGATGTTGAACAGTTATCTGTTCCAATGCTTCATCGAACAGTGACTTGAACGAACTCGTGGTTGAAGCACAAACAACTTGAGCTGGGAGAGCGTTCTTGATATTACAAACCTTGAGGCTGAAAGATTGACACCTGCAGTCTAGCCGACTCTTTTGGACCAAAAGCTTAAACGGATGTACCCTAAGGTGAACATTCATGGATTATGTTGGTAGAGTACTACACGGGTGTTCAGATGGATGAATAAGGATCCCCGTATTCGACGGTATTCAGACGAATAAAGTCCAAAAATGTGCAGCCTTTCACCGTAGGTTTTACATTGTAACCCTTTGACCGTCTTGGTTGCTGTTCTATGCGGACGTTCGAGTTCCTTTTGGTCACAAATTGGCTATAGATTCCAAGCCTGTATAGCATTATCAGTATGTGGTCTGATGTATGCTAATAACAAACAGGCAACAGATCCTCTTCGAATGATCCAAAAAATACGTTTTTAGCAATCCAACGTACTTTATGGTCTTCGATGACGCTCTTACGCATTGCATGGAACATCTGAGATCCTGACGAACAATAACTCCCAGATCCTTTTCGTTTTGGACACGCGGTAATGACCTAGTTCCAATTAAGTATGGAAAGCGACCCCTGTAATACAACGATACAACCTTACTTTCGATGTCATTAGTGATAAACCATCGGTAAACTGCGTCAAGAGTTTCCTGCAGGGTTTCATAATGTTTGTCTTCCATGTTTCGGCGTCATCAGCGAATAATAATACCTTTTCTCCAAGGACAGGTCATTTATGAATGCTAGGAAAAGGTACAGACCCTTGTGGAACTCCACGGACAGCGTCAATCGGTCCCGGTGGAGAACCATTAACTCGAACCGATACGGTGCATTGTTGAAGAAATTCCTCAATCCAGTCAAGGAGTAGTCCTTGAACACCTTAGTTATGGAGCTTTTGCAGCGGTAAACTTTGGAGAGATCGAAGTAATGTACGTCTTCCACCTCCCCTCAGTTGACAGATTTTGCCCACTCATCTCGTTCAAGTAGCAGGTTTGT